GATGCTTTGATCGGGTGTTGTATGGATGACTTGCCAGGATGCCAACAAACTAACCACCTTCCTTTTATTAAATAAAGATAACAGAGGACAACAACACAAAACCACCATGTTAGCGTTAGGGCATTTATCAAATAATAATATCACATTACGTGCAATGCACCTAGCAACAATTAATAGTTCTAAAATGGCTTTTAGGGTCATAGGGTCATAGGGCATCATCCCGATTTGCTCATTTCGATCCTTCCTTCTCTTTCTTTTCTAACACCTCTTATCACTCTTTTCTTTTTCTTTCTCTTTTTATTTTGAACCAAAAATGATTTGATCGAACCCGATGTAGGTTGCCTACGTATCATGTCCCTCATGAATCAGACCGAGCGTAGTTCTGGAAGAGTGATGGAAAATAAACTAAAAATAAAATCTTTTTTGAGATTTTTCATTTAAAAACATTTCGATATTAAAATACAATGGGAATTACGATAACGAAAAACATGACAGACTCGACTACACTATGATAGACTCTGACACTACTTAAAGGACTCGGTACTCCTAGACAAGACAAGAAAGTAAAGGACAACATAAGACAATCTCAAAACGTCTAAATAGAATGACTCCTCAAACTTCTCCTGAATGCGACGATCCTGGCTGGGACCGGTCCGATGAAGATCCGGATGGCCCCGTCAATCCTGTCGAATCTAAGCTCTGTATTACACCTTGCAAGGACACCTTGAAGCTGGGAATGAGAATCCTGGAATGCGCGCCTGCATCTGGAAGGCTGACTCTAGTAAGGTACTCACGGTGTTGTCCCATGTTCTCTACCAACCCTACCAACTGTGATCTCAGTAACTGAAGTGTAGCTCGAACCCCATCCCTTTCTGCTGCATAGGCCTCCTCTGCCTAGGTAAATCGATCCATCAACTGTCTAAGCAATATCCGTGAGGTTGCCTCCTCGTCAAATACTCCTCTAACTCGTCGGGGCAATGGCCTGCTAACCCCCCGCTGAGTAGACTGTAGCCATATGAAGTACTCATGGGTATACCCAGGTGAATGTGGGTCAGCAGCTAAAGTATCCCTACCCATCTTCATTGCATGACGCCAATAGGTCTGGATGTCGACCTCCCTATGCGGCATAGTGTCAAATTCCCTAATGAAGTCACGAGAATCAGGAATGTAGGGGACTTCTTGCCGCCTCCCTAACTGACGCATCACTTTAGCAGGGGTATATGGTCTAGTACACCAAAGTCCGATCAGTACCAAGAAGTCTTGCACGCGAGACCCTGCTAAGATCACGTCCAAATCAATCCATAGGTATGACCACAAAATCTTCTCTTCAGTCAAGGATCCTAAATAATCAACCCAATCCTGAACTCCGAGTGGTAAGGCAAACTTATCGAACGCCATCCTATGCTCGATGCACTTCACTCAATCTCTCAGACAAAGGTCAATCACATCTTTATCAAACATGGTGGCAGGATGTAAGTGTTCCATCCTCCACAGTCGTAGCAACAAGTTGCTTCCCTCAAAGAACCTCCCACCTTCTCGAATCCTTATCAAAGCATAATAGATCTCTGCCAAAATTGTCGGAACCACGGTGACCTTACTGCTGTGTTTATCATGAAAGAGTGCAAAGGTATGGACCCCAGACGCGTTCTAATATGTCTACCCTCCAAAGGAAATACCAGGAGACCCAACAATGCAATAGCGAAGACCATAGGACGCCTCTTCTTCCAAGAATCATATGATACGGAAAATTCATCTACGAAGGTCTCATATCCCGTAGGACGAGCAAACCTCTCGAATAAAAATTCCAAAGGTACCCAAGATTGATCTAGACATCCCATGTGAGTTTCCAAATCCATCCCTATGATCTTAAGGAACTTGGTGCTTGAATGAGCCCTTGTGTAAATTAAATCCTTGTCTGGGTATGGCTGGCGGGTTAACCCAAATATCTCAGCTAAGGTGGGTGTCATCTCAAGATCCCCAAACTTGAATACCATTCCCTGTGGGTCCCAAAATATCAACATTGCTTCTACAAGGTCGGGACGGGGAGTGATGTCCATCAAAGAAATAAGAGTCCCTAATTTACCCATCAAATCATGTTGCTCAAGTAATGTGAACATGTTCCACCATTTTACTAGCCTTCTAGGGACTTTGACCACCATTTATACTCTAACATTGGTGAGTGGATCCACACCTGAATGGGAAAAACATGGTTAATGACTCAAGACATTATGTGACACCACGACATTTTCTAGGGGACGATTGGCATGAGGGGAAAAAGTGGCTAAAAATGCAAACTCAAGAAAGGTGACCTCAAAGACATGAGAATACCTCACTAAAGCTTATATGAATTCCAACTCTTAATAATCATGGCCCAAAATTAATTTGCAGAAATGACTCATTTTGCAAAAACGGCCAATATGGCCAGAAGTGGCTAAAGATGCAAACTTGAAAAGGACGAACCTTAAAATAATATGACACCTAGTTGTGGACTCAAGATCCTAAGACATGGGTTATTGAACCACCTTTGCGGAAATGATCCCAATTTGCAAGAATGGCCGATGTGGCCGAAAGTGGCTAGAAACGCAAGATATGGCTAAGACCCCGCAAAGCCAAGAACCTAAGACACTAGGAAGACCGGACCCTATGTGGGTTGCCTACGTATCACGTCTCGAAAGACGAAAATCAGGTACGCGTAGTTCGGGAAGATTGGACATGGGATAAAGCTTTCAAAAAAAATGCAACTAATTTGGAAAACCATTTTTTTGTCTTTTGAGAAATGATGGAAAATGTAAAATATTTTTGGATTTTTTTTTGAATTTTTGGAAAAATGATAAAAGATGTAAAATCTATTTGGGATTTTCTTTTTCTCCCTTTTTTTGAATTGTTTTTGGAAAATAATGGAAAAGTGTAAAATCTTTTGGATTTTTATTTTCAATTTTTTTAATGGAAAAGTATAAAATCTTTTGGATTTTCTATTTTCAATTTTTTGTCTTTTTTGGAAAATAATGGAAAAGTGTAAAATCTTTTTTGAATTTTCTTTTTCATTTTTTGGAAAATAATGGGAAAGTATAAAATCACCTACTTCATTTTATATTTCACCCTCAAATATCCTTGGTCCTCCAAATGACCCTTTTACCCCTAAAGAGATGCAACATGTAGCACATAGGGATGATTAAATGTTTTTTTGGGCCATGAGCCCATTTTGACATAATTTGGGTAGGCCTCCTACAACGGGACACGGTGCTTGGGACCGAACCCGGCTAGGTTTGAATGATATGATGCACATAAGTATGACCTAAAGGCTGACCTACGGTTGGGGTTCACTAGACAAGGCAATTCGGGGCGGCACGTGGTCGATGACGGCTGCTCTAGCTGTCCGCCCACTCCACTCTCCCACGCCACTCCCCTAAAGACACGGGTGACTCACAAAAAGGCCGTGTACGCTCAAACGTACCCCGGAAGACTTGTTGCAGAAAGAAGACTCATGGTTAAGCAAATGATGACAATTTATAAATTAGTAACACATAAAGGAAAAATTGTAAACAAATATAGCAAATAAAAACGACATAAACAAAATAAAAAGCAAACGAAACACATAAAAACCTCAACTGAATATCCTAAAAAACAACAAGATCAAGTACTAGATCGAACCTGCAACTCCCCAGCAGAGTCGCCAAAGATGTCACACTCCCTTTTTTACAAACTCACTAATCCTCTTAAATAAATAAAAAGATTTTATGAGGCTCAAACGAGTTTTCAATTAGAAAGTGACAAAAATTCGTGTTCAAAAGGATTAACTCAGAGACGCCACTTGACATTTGATTTCGGTGTGTCAGGTCACCATTTTTCTAAAAAATAAATTTTTCTTTTAAAACACTTGGACTTCAAAACTAAGTGTGCACCAGAGATTCGGGTAAAGGGGGTTCATTTGACTCGGGGAGAAGGTGTTAGGTACTCCCCAAGTCCCGTAACTGGTACGGTGGCGTACTCGATCAAGTTGGCTTTAAAATATTCAAATTGAGATATAAACACAGAAAAGAAAAATAAACACACTAGAGGCTCAAGGTCGTCCCCATCTAACCAAAAGAAAATAAAAGAATAAAATAAAGGTAAAATCCTAAATACTAATATATATACTATACTTTTCCACGAAGTTCGTCATGGTCTCCAAATACATGATACTACGGGGCATACCCCGAATAAAATATATACAAACTCCTCAGGGCATTCCCCTGATAAATTTAACTAAGGGAACGACCTCTCGCCTCGAAACTAACAAAATCCTAAGGCTTGCCTACCCATGTGTGGTCGGCCTAAACATTCTCCTAGCGAATAACGTAATAAAATAAAGCAAATGAAAGAACTAAATAGAAGAAAATTCTTAATCATGCTCATATTTTAACTTTTCAGTTTGAAAATTTCACTAAGCTTGGAGTCCATAACATGAAAGAAAATTGATTACTAATGAGCTTTAGCCTCTTTATTCTTGTAACCCATGTTTATTCAACAAAAGCATGCAAATAGTGATAAACACAGACAAAATTGGCGAGATCAATTTGAACAACCTATTTTCAAAGTTTCTGCCTAACATGTTACTTAAATAGTTTACTATTAAATGATACTAAACCCAAGCATTTTCAAGTGCAAAATCCCAACAATGGTTTGAATTCACCCGTTAAATCAAAGTCACGGAGGAAACTCAGCAGTACAGAATATTCCAAGAATGGAAAATAACATCAAAATTCATTACTAGTATTTAAACATCCTAAAACGAGAAATCAATACTATTAGATAAGGTAAGAGGGAAAGAGTTGAACCTGAAACTGGGATTTCCACTTGATGAAGACGTCTAACAATTATACAGACAGGAACAGAACACAATTGGAACTCAAATCGACAGAAATCTCAGACACGAACCCAGACGGAATCTCAAATCGGCATCGAAAAATTTGAAACCAAACAAGAATTCAATCAAATTCGAAATTTCAGCTAAACCGAAGAGATAAATGGCACTGATTTTCTAGCTTTTTTTTGGACTGTATTCTCCTTTTACACTATTTACGTATTTCCTTTGAAGGGCTTTTGAAATTTCAGCATTGTATATTGAGTTGAACTAAACAATCCGAATGGAGAAATCAAGAGGGCTGGTGGCCTTTCTTTGCTCATAGAATCCAAATATACAAATTCCCATTACCCAAAAGAGGAAGCTGTTGTGTTCAACTTTTCCATTTTAGGATTCCTTTTTGGATTTCTATCTTTGTTGCAGAGAGTGAGAGGAGCTTTAATTGGGTTTCCTTTTTTTTTTGGTCGTTGGGCAGCTGAATTCCAAAGGGTGAGAGGGTTGTGTTGTAGTCTTCTTCCAATTGAGACAAAAGACATCCAAAATCAGGAGTGTCGTAGGCTTCTTTTTCTTGGTGTTCTTTTTATTCCGAAGAAGGGTCCAACGGCTGAAGGCTATTGTGTATGTTAATAGGTTAAGTCTAGGTTATTATTAGGGTTTAAGGGTATTGGGCTCAAGGAATGGGCTAGAAACTTGGGCCTTTATGACTAGCTTTGCTTAAAATTAGCCTAATTAACTAAAAATATATCCATATAAAAATATTATTAAAAATATTAATTAGCCCTACTTAAGTCAAAATAATTATTAAAATAAGACTGCCCATTAAAACAAACTATTTTTTGGTATTTTTTCAAGATTAAAAATGACTACAAAACCTTAATGAAACTATTTTTTTTTTGTAATTTTTGTTTTTTTGTGAGAAAATAAAGTAAAAGAGTCAAAATAAATTGAAATAGCAATATTAGGCCTAAATTAAATATTTACATGCTAAAATATAAAAAATCTTGGGGAGGGTCAAAAATCACATGTCTACAAAACAAATAGCGAATAAACCACGTAGATCTTATAGGCATGCTTCTACCCGTTTGTGTAAGTATTAATATACCCTTCCTTCTTCAATTTCACTAAATTCCCAATTATTCAATTTACAAGTTATTACAGCCTAAATGAAGTAATCAAACATGAATATTTACATAAAAAGACAATTATAGGCCCATTTAACAGAGCAGACCCAAAAGAACCAGTAAAGCCTGGGCCTTCAGCAGGCTCGTTCTTCACACAAATAGCAAACCCAGATCCAAATACACTCCAAACATTAGAGTGTATCAATTGCTCAGCTCAAACTCACACAGGGACCCACACTAGGTCCAAAGGGAAGACCTACTCACCCAACAATTGCAGATGAACAACTTAACCATACAAATTAACGAGCTACGCATGACAACTGATTAAACAACTCTGGAGCCTACTAACAACAGTTCTCACTAGGACATAGATACAGAATCATAAAACATATTGACAAGACTAGCATAAGACATATTGGAACTTGCATTTTAGAAACAATGGGCTTTGAATATGAAAACTAGGAGAATCAGTAGAGCTCTTTAACATGGTGAGTTTGACATATAAAACTAACAATATAGGTTCATGATTTATTCAACAGGGAAAAGAGTATAGCATGCTGAGCATAAACACAAATTAGGAGAGTTGAGGAGGCATGTCACTTGGATCAACAGGATAAGCATACAAGACATATAAGATAAGCACGCTCAGTTTTCCAAAAAAACAATTCCACAGTAAAACATGATCCAGAATTTGTCTAAAGGGGACTTTAGACCTGAGATTCTTAATTATGATAGTCTAAATAGAGTCATAGTCAGGGGAATAACAATTTTCACATAAGATCTTAATACACATAGAAAATAGGATAGTAGGCATGATCTACAATAGTCAACAAGTAGCTTAACATGCTGAGTATAATACAAAGATTCCAAAATCCAAAGAACTCATGGTAGGAAAGCATATCAACTTAAGGTTAATAGAACATGCACACTCCAGGGTTTATGCCAGTTGACTATGCATAATAAAAGAAGTTATGTATATTGAAATTTATTACAAGTTTTAGGCAATACTAAAGAGTGCAAGATTGACAGGTCAAGGGACCCAATCAGCAGAGTTACAAATTACAGACAAACATGCTTGACTATATATTAAAAAAATGCTATAACATGGGAGAGTTAAGAATTACTTTGCAGGAAATAGTAGATTAGCAGGAGGAGATTCATTAAAGCATATTTTGAGCAAACAATTTCTACAAGGATCCCAGAAATCCAAGGCATGAATGTGAACTCATAATAAGCAAAGGACATGACATTAAGTCTAACATGAGCATGACCATTGAGGCAAACTCAAGAGGGCAGAAACTACTTGGATCAAATATGTAGAGTGAAGGTCTATTGCACACGTTCAAACCTATAAAATTCGATAATAGAGAACATGAAACTGTAGAACACCATGGAAACAATAGAATTATAGAAAGCATACAACAATATAATGCTGAGAGTTCACAAATAACGAAGAAGCTTTAAGGCATACTTGTCTAAAAGTTCAAAAAGTGTTGGCATACATAATACACATACATGAACAAGTAGAGGGATAATATTTAAGGCTGTAAAGGGTCAAGAATGCTAAATAGTTGCAAAGATAATTGAGCAAAGAGTGAGTAACTTAGAATCTCAGTAGTGATAGCAAAGTAAAGACAACAATGAGAACCTCAGGTCCTAGTGCGTCAGAGTTCACAAGAGCTTCAGTGAGCCCTGAGCAGTGCTTGCACTAGGGAGGAAAAATATAGAAGATTCCAGTGGCCTTGGCTTTCAGTTGGCCACAATCAAGAAAGAGTTATAATATGTGAGGTAAAAGTGAGAGAATAGTAATAGTGGTTAAGCGATTCGAGCTCTGTTCAAAGGGGATTAGGGGAAGGGTTTATATAGTAGCAGAAATTAAAATAACAAACATGGAAAACAATTAATCAAATACAAAATAAGGAAAGAAAATCACATGCAATCGATAATAGAACTGGTAAAGAAAAGAATTGAAATTTTAAACCCTAGTTTGATGAAAAATCAAAGATTGGCCGAGGATCTTAGTAAATCGGACCCATATAACCCGGTGGTGAGTGTATACAGACGAAATATCGTCTAAGTCTCGAAGATTGATGACGATTGATCATAACTCAGGGCCTGGCACTTTAAAAATAGGCAAGTACTAAGTGATGCCAAAAATGTGTAAATAATAAGATGACAGAATGTATAAGGTAAGGAAATCGTGGATTGATTCCATTTTTGGGTTGGAATCAGAGAGAAATTAGGAGGCGGACGTTAGGGTTTCTCGAAAGAGGAAAGGGGTTGAGAGGTTTTGAGGGCGACTGATAAGAGGGAATGAGGATTAGGGTTTGGGGTTGGGTTAATTAAAAGAGGATATGGCATATGGGTCGTTGATCTCCCAAGATCAACGACCAGGATTTTAAGGGGAGGTGAATCGGGTTAAATGGATAAGTATAGGGTAGTGGGTCACTGGCATTGGGATGGGGGATTATTGGGGTGTTGGGCTAATGGTTTGGGCTAAATTTGGTCCGAATATTAGCCTATTTTGGGCCAGCTCTTGAAACCCTTTTAAAATTAATAAAATAAATTATTAAAATGTCTAATAAATGGTAAAAAATAGTTTTATGCTATAAACTACTTAAGAATAATGACTAAATATTACAAAAATATAAAAATGCTACTTTGGCATGAGTAATGTAATAAACGCAATTATTTGTAGAATGTAGGCCATTTTTGCAAAATTATGTAAATAACTTAAAAATATAAATATGTTTATACAAAAATAGAGTAAACCTATTCTAGAACATATATGTTGATGCAAATAATAACTTTGGGTAATTAAATCATCACAATAAATAAATAAATGGGTAATTAATAAATGTTTAAGTAATTTAAATGCATGAAAATTAATTTTATAACTCCAAAAATTGTGAAAAATTATAGAAAATACTTATATAAATCTTGTAAATCAAATAATGATACAATAATGATAAAAAATATACATACTATTTGAAAAAATGTGAGGATAAAATTGGGTATCAACATCTATTACAAAGGTTTTACAGCTCGACTAACTATAGCCAAGACACAAACACAAAGGTTTATGATTTATAAAGGTTTCCTACACAATGCTTCTAACTAAGCTAAGTAGGAATTATAAGTAAAGTACTTTAACAAGGGTGCAACACAACTAAGGGCATGTAATAACTCGATACAGGTAACTGGTCCGTTGTTATGTTGTTCTTTATTTTTGATGCCCTTAAGAGTCACTTGCCAGATTGATTGATCACTTGAGAGAGTGCTCGATTATTCTTGAATGTGCAAGTGCTTTATTTTTCCTTTGCTTGATGTTACTTCATTTGTGACATCACTTGAATGATGCAAGCAAGTTAGGTAAAGGGCATTCCCCATAAAGTTCACTACTGCACTATTTTTGTACTGTTGCATGTGCAGGAAGCAACTTTACAGTTATGGAGGGTTGACTTGTACAGTCACCACGGGAACTGGTAGTTATCTGTTCCCTCTGTTGTTCCTTTGATTTTGAAGAGTTGAACCGCATCCTCGACTGAAAACTTGTTGATCTTAAATACTTGAGGATGTGTAACAGGTTCTTTAATTGGTTCTTAACAATAAGTTTGTTAGATCATCAAAATATAATAGGGATACACATATAACCTATCAATTGTTCGCTTTTTGATGATGACAAACTTATAATTTAAGTTCCCCTAAGAACCAGAATGACATTCACATTTCATGTATTCCCCCTGAACCTGTTCCCAATCTTGTTCCCCCTCAATTATTTTTTCCCCTTTTGGCATTATAAAAATATCAGTAGCAAGAAATAAGCAAAAAGAAGTCTAGCTTAATTAACTCATGCCATATGTGTGCACACAATCATGACTAAAAACAGAGCTAAAGAGCAAGGAATATACAGCAAAAGGACGAAACTTTCATTAATTATGGATAATTAAGTAGGGAGCAGTTCTATTATTACCAACACATTCACAAAATAAAACAACAAAAAAAGGTACCGGTCATAATCATCATTAGGACTAAACAGAGGACATACACTAGGAATCTTGACACTGGGAAGGGGACACTTTTTAGGGAGCAGTGGAAGGGGAAGTCCCAGATGAAGAGGCAAGGGTTCGAAGAAGGATGTCCATTCGAGCATTAGCTGATACATGCTCGCTGAGCAGCCTCTCCTTCAGGTCCTCAACTTGTTTCCTGAGGTCATCATTCTCCTTTGTCAGACGGACAACCTCTGTGCTTTAAGAGTTGCTGGAACCAGGTGCCTCATGAACCTGACTTAGCTGACCTTCGGGAATAGCATTCCTTGCTTTTAGCTTCCTTATCTCTTCGGTGGCACTGTTCTGAGCGTTGATCAACTGAGAGATAGTAGAAGTGTTGCCAACCCCTCCACTTCTATCAATGGACTCACACTCTTCTAGGATAGTCTTGGAGAAGGTTTGTTTGCAAGTTCTCGCCTTAGCTTTTCCTAAAGAGACTTTAAAAAATTCAAAAACCTTAGTGACAAGGAACCCATAAGGCAGCCTATGATTACCATTGAACTCTGCCAC